AGCAAGGCACTGGAGTGTGTGGTGGCTTTTCAGCTCTGGGAGAACCTGGATGAGACTCATCCTTGTCCGTCTGGCTTCAGACCTAGTGTGGAAACTTGGTCACCTTGGTACATGACCTGCACTGGAAACTGGCCAGGGGAGAACATCCCTGTTACTTTTGCTGAGCCTCCCACCAGCCTTCAATGCAGTTGACTATAGTGTTCTGCTAGGATACTTCAGTGAAATTGATTTGTAGGCACTAGAAGGTTCTGCAGTGGCTTTGGTCCTTCCTGAAGGAGAAATCTCTGAAGGTGATTCCTTTTTGATGCCTTGGCCATGGTCTATGGTGTGCCTTAGGGTTTTGTTCTGTCTCCCCTCCTTGTTAACATATAGCTGAAACTACAGTGGTGCCTCGCAAGACGAATGCCTTGCGGGACAAAAAACCCGCAGGACGAATGGCCTTTGTGAACACTGTGGTGCCTCACAAGATGGCTTCTTCTGTAGCTGTGCTTCGGAAGATGAATGTTTTTCGCAAGACCAATGCCTCTCAAGATGAAAATCATTCATTCATCTTATGAGGTTCCCAGTGGCTTTGGTCCTTCCTGAAGGAGAAATCTCTGAAGATGATTCCTTTTTGATGCCCTGGCCATGGTCTGTGGTGTGCCTCAGGGTTTTGTTCTGTCTCCCCTGCTTGTTAACATATAGATGAAACTACTGGCAAAGTTTGTCCAGAGTTTAGGGGTTCAGTGCCCTCAATATATAATGATCCATCAAATTGTATCACTTTCCCAACAGACTTCAAGGAGGTTTTTTTTTTTTTGGTCATTTCCACATGTTGCCTAATTTTTGAAATGTAATTCTGTTATGCCCTTATTATGCCCAAAAGTAATCAATTACATGTGGCCACTTTTTCCTTCTGGTTCCATCCATACTGGTTCTTTGGACAAGGATCATGGCTCTTCTGATTTTTGATGTGGCAACTCTAAAGAGTGTTGTCCTGTCACATCCAAATGAGTCCCCAAGATTCTTCAGTCGATAAGCATTCCTACATTTCCTTTGCCCATTCATTTCACCTTGAATGATCTGAAACAATCAGTATTGTTTGGTTTCTCATTTCCTGTCCAGAGTATTCTCGTTTTCTGCGTTTTGTGTGTCTTAATTTAATTCATTACTTCCTGTCTTTGCCTAGTCCAATGCTTAAGCGCTACGTCACAGTGATTCCATCAGGCTCCGCCCCCTAACTCTCAAGGTTCCATCCTGGCTCCGCCCCCTAAACCTTATACTCTCTATGGGGTAGTGAGCTTACCCACTCATGACCTGTCACGATGACTTCAGCCTATGGTTACCAGAGGATGGTAACTATGGGTGTAACAATTTGGTTGTCATTATGGCACAGGGACACCCAGTTACTTTGTGGCCTTTAGAGGCACTGATGAGAAAATACAGAAGCCTCTTTCAATCTGTAAGTATTGAAGCTTTTAAACTTAAATTTAGCCTTCCATTAAGGTGTGTCCTCTAGGCAGGTATGGTATGATCCTTACCCCGGGTAGAATGTATTGGCCAGTATCCTGTTCAATATTGACAGGTGTGGAATTCCGTTTGCTGGTGTCATTTGACAAGGTGCTTGTGCGTGATGGATCTTTTGCATGTGGAATTCTGTGTGGATAGACTGGGAAGGGCAGAAATGAAATGAATTAGAGAAAATCACAGAGAGTAAGGAGGTGCCACTGGAGACGAAGACCAAGGCCGTCCACCCTCTTGTATTCCCAGTCACCACGTATGGGTGTGAAAGATGAACAGTTAAGCTGGCAGGGAAAAAAGATGATTGGTTTGAAACGTGGTGCTGAAGGACAGCGTTAACTTTAGTATTGGCTTTTAATGATGTAAGCTGCCTCTTTATATATACCCCTTCTTCTTAGCTTTAAATACTTCCTTTTAATGATGCAGACAACTATTGTTTATTTATTGTTTTCAGCTTTAAATACTGTCTTTCAATGATATAAACTGCCCTGGGTCTTTTTTAAGGAGAAAAATGGGGTATGAATGAACAAACAAACAAACACACAAGTCGTACTTTGAGCACATCATGAGAAGTCAGGATTCTTTGGAAAAGATGACAAAGCTGGGAAAGGTGGAAGGCAGCAGGAAAAAAGGAATACCAAAGGCAAGACAGGACTGACTCCCTAATGGATTCCCTAGGGTTGAGTTTGCAAGAAATAAATATCGAACAGAATACTGGTCATTAATTGAAACTGTTATCTATCCTTGGGGGCATAAGAGAGAAACTAGAATATTGGGGCAGGATATAAAGGGATAACTATCCAAGTTCAAGGTAGACAAAAAGGTTGATGTAACTCTCTGGATGATTTGCAGTAGATCCGTAATAAGGTTTATCTCCCAGTGGTGTAACAAGAGGAGCAAACACAATATGCTTCCCTCCCACCCTAAATTATATGTTGAAAATGGAGAAAACTGGAGATAACCATCAGTGGATTCTTTGGTATGCCAGGATTGTGAGCTCTGTTCAGTTACTGTCCTTGAAACAAATACCTAACAGAGCTCACAATCCTGGCATACCGAAGATTAGACGTTTTCTAGAATGAAGAGGCATAAAATAGGTTATTTTTGGGGGAAGAATGTAAAATTATAGAATTGTGCACAGATCCTCCAATTATTGTGGGGGACCTGTTCAGTTACTGTCCTTGAAACAAATACCTAGGCTCATCATTCTTTAATTCTTAATCCTTTAAGTGTAGATCTTCTGTCCCAGGCCATTTGGTGGATCTTTGAGTTCTAGTGAAAGAGAAAGTAGATCCAGCAATGGTGAAATCTGCTCAACTGTAGCGTAGTACACACAAACAATAGATGAGTTGGGCCACCAGTTTTTAGGCTGATCTTTTCATTTAGTTATTTAAAATATTTTATGCCTTGTCATTCAAGAAAACATCTAGATTAGATGTTTTCTAGAATGAAGAGGCATAAAATAGGTTATTTTTGGGGGAAGAATGTAAAATTATAGAATTGTGCACAGATCCTCCAATTATGTTTGAGTGCAAGTTTCACTCTCTTAAACCTGACCTAGCACTGTCCGATTTTCATCCACCTGGACCTGGATGCAGATTTTTTGGGGAGCGATATTTAGGTTTCCAAGTATCTGGACACCCGCATTTGCTTGGATGGAGACATGTGAACAGCTGTAACTTCGGGGCAGTATTTCACTGCACCATGAAGCTTGGCAGACCTCAAAAGGAGGATTCAGTGTACTAAACTGAAGACAATCAGATTTTTATCTTGTGGGCTAGCGATCTTCAAGGTTTGCTTGTTTTCACCTTAGTTTCCCCCCATTTTTTCGCTATTGCTTATTGCTCAGTCCCAGATTGGGCCTCCTTCTACTGGAGCTCAGTTCGGGGAGAGGAGGAAAGGGTCCTGTCCCCAAGGCTGCATCAGTGGATGGAAAGAAATGGACAAATGGAGCGATGTATTAGCAACCTATACTTTCTCTCTTCCACTGCCACTGGAATTACTGTACTTACTAGCCAGTAGTCACAGAACCTGGCAATCACATCTTTTGGAACATGTGAGGAAGGAAGCTGGTTTCCGGTGTGCCAATCTGGATTTATACCTTGCTTGCTTCAGAATGCCATTTTTTTCCATGCAAAATTGTTATTCCCTAAAGCAGTGGTTCCTACTCTTGGGTAACCTAGGTGTTCTTGAACTGCAACTCCCAGAATCCCTGGCCAGCATAGCTGGTGGTGAAAGATTTTGAGAATTGCAGTTCAAGAACATTTGGGTTACCCAGGGTTGGGAACCTAAAGCAGCAATGCTTGGATACTGATGGTGGGGGAAAAACAGAGCATTTGTCATGCCAAAACGTAGCTATACACTCAAAGTCTACACAAGAACAAAAGTGGAAAAAATAAGGGGGGGGAGCAATTTGCAGCACAGAGTAGCTAGACCAAGGGCAGGAAAATGTAGTCTGCAAAGGAATATTAACTCCAATTGATCTCACCCAGGAAGACTCTGCATACCCTGAATGATTGGAGAGTTCAAGAGAGACTCTTGGTTTTCCTGGGTGGATACGAAGCTTTCTCTCACATCCTCAGTTTTCATCATCTGGTGCCACTTCAGCACTTGCCTGATATGGTATTGTTATCTTCTGTTTCCCTTTCCCAGCTTTTCAGGATGCACTTTTTTTCCTTTTATAATTTAATATTTTAACCTCCAAATGCCACACATTTCAGATGCAATTTATGGCAATGCTAGTCCGCATTGGAACAGAGTAGGCATGTTCACTTGAACTGAGGGCAAGATTGGTCCTGTTATTATAGGGCCTGGTATGACTGCCTCAGACAGCAGACTTTCTGAATTACAGAAAAAAAATTAAGTTAAACGTGATATAATTTCTGCCTACAAATAAAATTTTAATTTTGGATTGTTCCTTATTTGCACCTTTTTATCGTTATAAGATTTTTGAATGGCAGTTTATTTTTGAGATTTGTGCCTACAGTTTTCATAGCTGTAATAATGTTTTCAGTGTATGTGAACGTTTTTCTCTTTGACGTATTTTATGCTTATGGAACAGAGAAGCAATATAGAGAAATGAAGCTTGTAAAATTCGATGAGCTGATGTTGCCTGGAATTATTTCATCAGTGAAAAGACTTATACCTTGTTACCCAGATGAATTTTGATATGATTGTCAATGATCGTCTGGTTTCATTCTGGAATTAACCCTTGTTGGGATAAATGCCAGCTGTGACCCGCTTCAGATTTTCCCCTAGAAGTCTTAAAAGTTCTGTTGAGGTTTCAAAAACTGGAGAAAACCTGAGTAAGAAATTACACTTTAGTGTAAATTGATAATCTTGGATAGTGTATTGCATTTGGACCCAGGACATTTTAAATGATGGTCTATATTAATGCGACAGGAAAGGAACAACCTGACACTCTCAAAACATTTTGGATGCTACACATACATAATTATTAAAATAATCTTAACATACAATGAATTTGTTTTTTAAAATAGATCTTGAAGTAATGAAGCCTTTAATAGAACAGCTGGACTCAGACAGTGATGACGAGTATGAGAATCAGTTGCTGCCAGCAGAGAAGAAGTATCAGCTTGATGATGAAGAGGGGATTACGTATGTACTACTGTATATTCCTACTTCACGGGTTGAGGCAGGGTGTGGAATCCAGGGTACCGATGCAATGCCTGTGGGCTTGATCCATCAAATCGGGCCGAAGCACCGTAAATGCCCATCTCTACTCCCCAAGCGCTTGTGCTCTAGCTGATTGGGCAATGTAGTAGTTTACAGGTGTTGCTCTCCAGCTTTTGTGAATGTATATTTTGTTGTGTGTGTTTTTCAGATTTGTACAGACACTCACCCATCTCCTGAAGGGGAACATTGGGACAGGACTTCTAGGACTCCCACTTGCAATAAAAAATGCAGGCATTGTTGTAAGTTCCAGCCCATTCTCATCTGGGGGAAAGAAATGACCAACCTAGATTTTGCTGCAGCGCACAAGTGGAATTGGCAAGCAACTGTGCCATGGGGAGGGTCCCTGTCCAGGATTCCAGTCAGCCATGGTCTTTTCTTGGCTAATCTATCTGTCTATCTATCTATCTATCTATCTATCTATCTATCTATCTATCTATCTATCTATCTGTCTGTCTGTCTGTCTGTCTGTCTGTCTGTCTGTCTGTCTGTCTGTCTGTCTGTCTGTCTGTCTGTCTGTCTGTCTGTCTGTCTGTCTATCTATCTATCTCACTCATCTGGTATATTCTACCACTCCTGGCGGCTATCCATCACATCCATCTTCCCTTGGTTCCCCCCATCCCCGCTGGCTGTGCTTGATTGGGAGATTCTGGGTTCTGCAGAACAAAAATGGAACTTTTCCAGCTCTGTATATTACTGATAGTCTGCACATTCCCTGTTTCTTCCAGCTTGGGCCCATCAGTCTTGTGTTTATTGGAATCGTGTCCATTCACTGTATGCACATTTTGGTGCAATGCAGCCAGTACCTTTCTCACAGGTAAGTGTTGAACTACTGCAATATATTGACGATTTCTGTGCAGCCTTGTAGCAAATTGCAAATGTTCCTCGCCTGCAACTATTTTTTTTAAACCAACCTGCATTTGCATCCTGGCTATGGAGGATCTGTGGCCAGTAGGTAGCCATGGGCTACTAGGTTAATAGTGGGCCCCTCAGTGTTTTGCTTTCTGCCTTGTCCTCTTTGTTTTCATGCTGGTTGCCTGTGGTGAATTTTGAAATGCAAATGTTCCTCGTGACAGCTCTCTTATTAGGGGTAGTCTAAAAAAGCAAGCAGCCTGATTCATACGGGCAAACCAGTTGTAACAGCATTCAACCATAGGTGTTTTATATTGCTAAGGGGTCTTAACTGCCCATTTAAGGCTAAGCCCCACACAAAAATAGGTTGCATTTTTAGCAGTTTATTGCTGTTTGGAAAATGCTTTCTCTGAGGACTGAAGCAAACTCAGCGGTTTTGCAGGTCACATAACTGTCATTGTTAATTAAAGGGATGAAGAGAGATTTTCCTTTGTTTATTGTGTGTTTTCATCAACCCTCTGAGTTATGGCAAGACAAATAGAGTTTTCAAGGTTTAATTTTCCTTTGTTTATTGTGTGTTTTCATCGACCCTCTGAGTTATGGCAAGACAAATAGTTTTCAAGGTTTATGAGATGTTTAAGGGGTGGTTTTATGAGTGCCACCCCCCCAAACGCCAGTGAGTTTCCATGGCCAAGGAGGTGGTGCCTTGCTTAACGAGGATAATCCATTCCAGCGAAATCGCTGTAGAGCGAAATCCTCGTCAAGCGAAAAAAGCCCATTGAAATGCATTGAAAACCAGTTCAATGCGTTCCAATGGGCGAAATATCTCAGCGTCCAGTGAAGATCCTCCATAGGACGGCCATTTTCCGATGCCTGTGTAGCGAAAAATCCATCCTAAAGCACAGCAGGGAGCCATTTTGCACAGCGGGCGGCCATTTTGAAACCCAACGATCAGCTGTTTTGATTGTTGTAATGCGAAGATTCGGTTCCCGAAGCAGGGAACCGATCGTCGGGAAGCGAATTTTGCCTATTCACCTCATCATCAAGCAGATTCATCGTTTAACAAGGTAATCGTTAAGCGAGGCACCACTGTAATGTCTCCTGAGTTCCAATCTCTCAATCTGTCCAGTGCAGCACACACCGACTCTCATTTTCCTCTGTAGTTAACATCAAAGCTGAGTACCCCAGTGGAGGAGAATTTGAACAACTTTTCCTCCACTGGTCTGCTTGCTCACCTCTGTAGACTTCCTGGTTGCCAGGTGAGCTGTTAAATACAGGGATACTTTGCCATGTTGAATCCTTGCATGTCCTCCAGTGCCTGGATTGCATTTCTTGGTTTATTTTTAGGATTTGTTATGGCTCAGAAGGAGTCCTGTACCTGCTCTGTATGCTGTGTGACTAACTGTATCCAATGTGTGAGGTTGCGTTATCTTTAAATTGAAATGCATCTAATTAATTCTGCTTCATGGAACTTTAAAAAAGAGATCTCATTCTTCAGACTTGCATTTTTTAAAAATCTGGATGGGGGGATTATTAATATTTTCATGCGCTTCCACCCACCATTTGCATTTTGCAAACTTGCATCTTCTTTGCTGATCCCAGATGGAGAAATAATTGCTATTTTTTTCTTGTTAGGTTGAAGAAGACATCCTTAGGATACAGTGACACAGTCAGCCATGCGATGGAAGTAGGTCCTTTTAATGCACTACAGAAACGAGCATCTTGGGGAAGGTAAACTCATTTCAGCATTATAATTTGATTGTTTGGGAAGCAGAAAATTAATGTAAAAATAGCGATTGTACTGCTGTCGCAAAGCATGAGGGGTATGAGTACACTTCTGGTGTAAAACATAACATATATGAGTATATGCAAGCAAACCCCTGAAGCTGTCAATCCACAAAATATAAATTTTAAAAGATTCCTACAGTCAAGGTAATTGAGATCTTTTAGACTTAGGTAGAGACAAACTTAATTTGTGGTTCAGTGGTTATACTGCAGTACTGCAGTCAAGCCTCTACTCATGATCCGAGTTCTATCCTAATGGGCTCAGGTAGCCAGCTCAAGGTTGATACAGCTTTCCATTCTCCTTTGGTTGGTAAATTGAGTATACAGCTCCCTGGTGCTGGTGGGGGCAATGTGCAGCCTGCATAACTAAAAAATCTAAACCTCCCAGAGAGTGGGGGCGATGTGTAGCCTGCATAATTAAAAAATCTAAACCTCCCAGAGAGAGTTTAAAATGCTTTGGGGCAGTATATAAGAGCACACCTTGCTTTAATTGAGTTCACAAAGGCAGAATGCTATGTTCATTCAGCATCTAGCAGAGGAGATAGTGTCCATTGGATATTATGGCATGCTGCCAAAGGGTTACAACTCTTGAATGAGTTTCTCTTCTCTTTAGAAAGGACCCAAGGCAGCTTACATGCTTAAAATATACTGTTTAAACACTAGAAAGGGTCAAAGGGTCAAATGCCACACTACAACACAGTAAACAAAAACAATACTGAAAACACATTTCAAGCAGTAAGGCACGACAATCCATTTTAAAAAAAAAATCACTCAGGCAGCCAGTCATTGAAGGAAAAGCTTGCCTAAGAGAAAGGTCTTTGTTTGCTTGTGGAAGGACAGCAAAGATGAGATCTGAGCATAGAAAACAGCTACACATCACAGCCTCTGCTTACAAACTTCTTGCTCTAAGAGTGGTTTACCTTTTCAAGGTGATCACATGCTGACCTGATCAAAGGAGGACTTTGTGCCACTTAGCTCGTAATAGTTTTCCTCCCCTGCGGAAAGGTGGTTATATCTGATGGTTGTTGTGGGTTTTTCGGGCACTTTGGCCGTGTTCTTTGGCCGTGACCTTGAGGCAAAATCCGGAGTCGGAGTCCCAAAGGCAGCATGTGTCGTTCTGCCAACTCCTGCGACATTGCTGGAACCAGTTGTATTGGCTCTTGCCTTTCCATTGGACCATTTCAGCAATGTGGGCCCCCTAGAGTCGGACACGACTGGACAAAAATTGTCAAGGGGAACCTTTACCTTTAACCTTTACTAGCTCGTAATAGTTTTCCTCCCCTGAAGAAAGGTGGTTATATCTGATGGTCGTTGTGGGTTTTTCAGGCTCTTTGGCCATGTTCTGAAGGTTGTTCTTTGCCAGACTCTGTAGCCGGCATCTTCAGAGGACAGCACTCTGTGGTTATATCTGTTGTTCCTCGCTGCCACTTTCAGCAGAGGGAGTCTTGAGTGTAGAAACTCCACAGGTTGCCTACTTTGTGGTAGCTCCTCCTCTGTTGGACAGGGAGCTGGTCATTCATGTGGTGCTGTGCCTCCGAAGATCACACCCAGCGGGACTTGCCAGTGGATGAGGGTGTCTCTATGTTTCCTTTTGCTGCATTGTATCATAGGGCATCTACGTCAACCATCTATAGAATAAATCTTCTAAAGCACCAGTGGCTATCTGTCTTCATCGGGAGAGGAGGTCATTGAGGTCGTGGCTGATCCTAACCCACCTGTTATTGCAGCTGCTGAAGCATCTATAGCTTGAAGATGGATTCATTTGAATGTTTACTACCCCACTTTCCTCACTTAGTTTTAGGAGGGGTAGCCATGTTACTCTGTGCAAGCATATCAGGCAAAATCCAAAGCAACGAATCAAGATAAAAATATGTCGCACCTTAAAGACTATTATCTTTTAATGTGAGCTTTTGTGGTCTTTTTTAAAATTTAGTTTAGTTTTGTTTCTTTGGGTTTGGCCCAATATACTTCCTTACCTAATATACTTGTAATCTCCTTACCTAACGTACTCTTCCTTTACAAAGCTCAAAGTGACTGATGTGAGGGTTCTCAGTGATGCCCAACCGAGGTACTGAGATTACTTCACCTCAACCTTACGACTGGTATGTTGTTCTTCTTTAGTCGTTTAGTCATGTATGACTGTTCGTGACCCCATGGACCAGAGCACGCCAGGCCCTCCTGTCTTCCACTGCCTCCCAGAGTTGGGTCAAATTCATGTTGGTTGCTTTGCAGACACTGTCCAGCCATCTCATCCTCGGTCGTCCCCTTCTCCTCTTGCCGTCACACCTTCCTAACATCAGGGTTTTTTCAAAGGACTCTTTTCTTCTCATGAGATGGCCAAAGTACTGGAGCCTCAGCTTCAGGATCTGTCCTTCCAGTGAGCACTCAGGGTTGATTTCCTTTAGAACTGATAGGTGTGTTCTCCTTGCAGTCCAGGGGATTCTCAAGAGCCTCCTCCAGCACCAAAATTCAAAGGCATCAATTCTTCGGCGGTCTGCTTTCTTTATGGTCCAGCTCACACTTCCATACATCACGACAGGACAAACCATAGCTATGTGGACCTTTGTCAGCAAGGTGACATCTCTGCTTTTTAAGATGCTGTCTAGGTTTGTCATCGCTTCCCTCCCAAGAAGCAGGCACCTTTTAATTTCATGGCTGCTGTCACCATCTGCAGTGATCATGGAGCCCAGGAAAGTAAAATCTGTCACTGACTCCATATTATCCCCTTCTATTTGCCATGAGGTGGACATGATCTTAGTTTTTTTAATGTTCAGCTTCAGAGCATTTTTGTGTTCTCCTATTTCACCCTAATTATGACGTTCTTTAATTCCTCCTCACTTTCTGCCATCAGAGTGGTATCATCTGCATATCTGAGTATACGAGTGGCGTAGCGCTTGACATTCCCAGACCTTGTGCAGAACGAACATGGTCTGGTTTGCACTTCAACTGCTCTCCTTAAAGGAAGAGTGTTGCTTTCTTGATGCAGTGGTTCTTTCTACATGCCCCATCTCCTCAGGATGTACGAGTCAAGTGACTCTTATCTGTATCTGAATCTGCCTGAGACTGCATTGGGCATCTGGTCGATCGGGGACAGAGCAATAACATATTTAGATAAGGGCAGTTTCAGCCCAACTTCATTTATTTTGTTTCTCTGTGGTACCTTAAAGAGTAATGGTTCTATTTCTGCGTGAGCTTTTGTGGGTCAAATCCACTTCCTCAGACATAGCTCATGTTCTTGTACATTGGAAAGCTGACATAGTTGTTGAAGAGGAAAAAAGTGAATTATTTTTCTCATAGAAATAGCTCTGTTCCTCACAGCCTTTGAGTTTCCCAGTGCATTCTGTGTGTCCTCATAAATCACTGTGCCTCTCCACAAACTAGACACTGAGTAACTTAAGTGGTTTTCTCTTTTTTCTTGTCTCGTTTTAGGTGTGCCGTTGACTTCTTCCTTGTGATTACCCAGTTGGGCTTTTGTAGCGTTTATATTGTGTTCTTGGCAGAAAATGTGAAGCAAGTAAGTAAAAACTCTTTGGAAATTCAAATACTGCTGTATAATACCCTCTTTCGTTCGTGTAGTCGTTTAGTCGTTTCCGACTCTTCGTGACCCCATGGACCAGAGCACGCCAGGCCCTCCTATCTTCTACTGCCTCCCGGAGTTGTGTCAAATAATACCCTCTTACTGTATCGCTTTAGGACCTTTGGCTTCCTATGCAACAGAACTATTTCCTTATAAAAGCTCACTGTCTGTTTCTGAACATACTGTACCTTCAGCTCTTTCCTCCTAAAGTGGACTTCTGCAGCATGCTCTAAATGTTTTATATGCAACAGAACTATTTCCTTATAAAAGCCCACTCTCTGTTTCTGAACATACCTTCAGCTCTTTCCTCTTAAAGTGGACTTCTGCAGCATGCTCTAAATGTTTTAGAAATTTGTTCAAAATCCTCACACAGGCCCATCTCCTGGAAGTGACAGATCACTGGAAGTACATTATTGCCAGTTCTCTGCCTATCCCCCTTAGATGAGGTATTCAGATAGCTCATCTAGGTTCATAAGGTTCAAAAGGTTCAGAAGGTGGTGAACACCTTGAACCCGGTATATCATAGATACAGTTTCTTCACCATAAAGATGAAGAAAATTAGAGTCACATGCTGTTAAAGTAATTGCATGGAATTGAACGGTTCTTTGATTCTGTATAAGATTTTGAACACAGACTGGCATGGACAGAATAATGCAGCTCCACATCCAGAGAATAATCCTGACCCATCATATCCCTTTCATCTCCTACCAGATGTTCTGGCCATGTGCCTTCTATCACTCTCTTCCCCCCATGAGCCCCATTAGGATTTGGGAGATTTTTCAAAGGTGTCCTCTCAGTTTTCAAAATACTTTAAAAAGACACAACAAGGGCTTGGTATACATCCATGATCAAATTTCTTAGAATCCAGTTATCAATTACTTAATAAGATTGTTGTAAGCCTCCCAAAGACCTTTGGGTAATGTGGGTGGCATGTAAGTTAAATAAATAAAATAACAGTACAAATCGTTTCCAAAATTTTCATGACAGGCCACTGATTGTCCTCCCCTTTAAAACTCCCCTGATAATATTTAAACCAGATGTCACTCCCAGTTGAGAAATTAAAATAATACATTCTTCATATTGTTTTCTTTTTGGTATCAAGCAGGTCCAGTGAAAGGTTTTACTTTCTACTGGATTTTTAACTCAGTGGGTTTTCTTCAGTAAGTCTCAGTTTTAAATTTCCCAGTTGGGGGAGCGGATTGTAATTTTATAACAAACTTTATGATAGAAATCGCTCCAAACAGCCTATAACAGTTTGGCATGTGTTGAAAGACTGGAGTACGAAGCTTCATCTGCCTCATCCTCTAGAGTCAGGTGGGAAACATCTGATGGTAATTAAGTAAGAAATATTATCTGTAATGGTTTTTTTTCCTGTTTAAAACCAGTGGTTTTTTAAAAGTTAAGGTTTTATGATAGATTTATTTGTCTGTCAACCTCTGGGTAGTTTGGGCGGCATATAAATTGAATAAATAAATAAATAAATAAATAAATTTATATTTGTGTATTTTTTTTATATTTACTTTTTTTCTTGTATGTTTTCTTGTCAACCACCCAGAAGGTGCATTGCAGTGTTGAGGTGGAATGTAAGCTGAAACAACAAACGAATACATAAATAATGTTTTATACCCGGTGAGAGAGAAGCTGTGCTCCCGTTTCAAAATATTGTTGGACTCCAACTCCTCTTAGTTTTAGTCAGCATGTTCAGGGTTCAGGGATTATGAGAGTTGTAGTCGAACAGCAGTTGAAGAGCTGGAGATTCCCACTTCATTCATGCACTGGATTAATTAGATAGTGAGACCAGAAAGGGAGACATGTTTATGCTTGCCTTCCTGGTGAGGTGGGAACAGAAAAAAAGTGAATCACATTACAGTTATTGTAGTGATCTACAATACAGTTATTGTACATTACACCCTAAAAGAATCATCATCTTATATATAGATGCCCCATTTTTTTCCCGTTTGTCTGCCCCCCCCCAATCCTGTTCGGGGCACTTGCTGAAATCCTGTTGCTTAGTGTTGTTGTTTAGTTGTTAAATCGTGTCTGACTGTTCGTGACCCCATGGACCGGAGCACGCCAGGCCCTCCTGTCTTCCACTGCCTCCCGGAGTTGGGTCAAATTCATGTTGGTCACTTCAATGACACTGTCCAACCATTTCGTCCTCTGTCGTCCCCTTCTCCTCCTGCCTTCACTCTTTCCCAACATCAGGGTCTTTTCCAAGGAATCTTCTCTTCTCATGAGATGGTCAAAGTACTGAAGCCTCAGTTTCAGGATCTGTCCTTCCAGGGTTGATTTCCTTCAAAATGGATAGGTTTGTTCTCCTTGCAGTCCAGGGGACTCTCAAGAGTCCGTTCCAGCTTAGTGTAGTAAACCACAACTAGAGTAGGCCCATTTAATCAATGGAAAATATAGAGGAGTTGACTCTCCAAATTCCCACCAATTCAATGGGTCTACTCTAGTTTCAGCTTAATACACACAAAGCCATTGATTTCTGCTGCTGTATGCAGTTTATTATTCATTATTTATTTGAAATATTTGTATTCCTCCCCCCGCCAACTTCCTCTTTAAAAAGATCCCAAGGCAGCTTTAAGTTACATTTGGTTACAAGCTATATTAACTTTTTTGTTTGTTTGTAATGCTTATTGCTAACTGCTTCATGTAGTATGTACTTTTAAGATACTTTGCTCTCTCAGATTGCTTCTCAAGGAAAAGTGATAGTTTGAAAAATAAATGCAAGAATAAATCCAGTGGAGCTGGACAAGACTCCTTTCTGAGTCCCTGAAGAGTTGCTTATATCAATGGTCTGGCTTGTTTTAGGTCCCTATTGTTTTATTTCATCTTAATCCACACAAAGCCATCAATTTCCGCTGCTCTATGCAGATTTTTTTATTTATTATTTATTTGAAATATTTGTATTCCTCCCCCCGCCAACTTCCTCTTTAAAAAGATCCCAAGGCAGCTTTAAGTTACATTTGGTTACAAGCTATATTAACTTTTTTGTTTGTTTGTAATGCTTATTGCTAACTGCTTCATGTAGTATGTACTTTTAAGATACTTTACTCTCTCAGATTGCTTCTCAAGGAAAAGTGTTAGTTTGAAAAATAAATGCAAGAATAAATCCAGTGGAGCTGGACAAGACTCCTCTCTGAGTCCCTGAAGAGTTGCTTAGACTGAGCAGTACTGGGTTAGATATATCAATGGTCTGGCTTGTTTTTAAGTTCCTATTGTTTTAGTAAAATACATGACTCTTGATAGAATTGAGAATCTGAACCGAAATATTTATTTTGGCCTGTAGGGGGAGCCAAATGGACAGCTATGACATTTGATGTATTGCTTTTCCATTTCTTGGAGCAAAAAACTTATTTCCAAGTGCATACACGTCAGATATAGTAAATTGCTAACGGTACTACCAATGGCATAAATCATTCCGCATTTCTTATATTTTCTTCTGCCAACTCTGTTCAGAGCCATACTTCCCACCCACCCCCCTTCCACCTCATTGTCCTTTGTTTTCCTGGTGGTACTTCCTGGTATTCTTCTAGCTTAGTCACAGAGATGTTCATGGAGTATCGGTAGTGTTGGAACAATCTCTCTCTTGTCTTCTCGTGATGTTCAGGAATACAAGAGAATCCCAAAAGGACCAGGTCTGAGTACCAGTTAATGCAAAGCATGTCTAAGAAGGTGCTGTAACATTTGTGTCCTATCTGGGTGTTTTTCATTGGGATACAGTCATGCCCTGCTTAACGATTGCCCCACATTACAACAAATCCGCTTTACGACGATCTTTTTGTGATCGCACTTGCGATCGCAAAACAATGGTCTAAATGGGGGAATTTTGCTTTGCGATATTCGGTTCCCTGCTTTGGGAACCGATTCTTCGCAAAATGATGATTTTTCAACAGCTGATCGGCGGTTTCAAAATGGCCACCAGGTAAATAAAATGGCTCCCCGCTGTGTTTAGGGATGCATTCCTCACTATACAGGCAGCGAAAATGGCCACTGTATGGAGGATCTTCGCTGGACTGTGAGTTTTTACCCCATTGGAACGCATTGAACGGGTTTCAGTGCATTTCAATGGGGTTTTTAATTTCGCTTTACGATGTTTTTGCTTAACGCCAATTTTCCTGGAACAGATTTTCATTGTTAATCGAGGCGCCACTGTATGTGGTTGGCCATTGTGGGAAACAGGATGTAGGACTAGATGGGCCTTAGGTCTGATCCTGCAGTGCTTTTATTTTGTTCACTGATCAGATGCTTGCAAGTTAAGGAGCCGAGTTGAGCCTGACGTGTGCTCCTTAAGGCCAGGAAATGGAGCACTAAGGCACTATGAAGTGTGCCCTGTAGTCAGTGACAGTGCTGTGTGGTGTCACAGTTTATTTATTAATTTAAAGTATGTTTATCCTGGCTTTCTGCTTAAAAACAGAACTGAGGTGCCTGACATCATTAAAACACAATATGAAGGCGAACAACAGTGAGTAGACAAAAGGATGAAACATAATAAGCAATATTAAATATGCAGCATTCTGTGTCTAGTTGTGCTGGCCACGTGACAACGGAAACTGTCTTCGGACAAACGCTGGCTCTATGGCTTGTAAATGGGGATGACCACTGCCCCCTAGAGTCGGACACGACTGGATTAAATGTCAAGGGGAACCTTTACCTTTACCTAAAAACACAATCAATGCCATAAGGTACAGCAATCCATTAAAAAAAACCCCCACTCAACAGCCAATCACTCAGGAAAAGCTTGCCTGAAGAGAAAGGTCTTCTTCTGTTTGCAGGAGGACAGTAAAGAGGGGGGTCCAGCCTAGACATCTGTGGGAGGGAGTTTCAAAGTCTGGAAGCATCAACAGAGAAGGCCCTCTTCTTTGTAACCCCCCCCTCGAGGCATCTGTGAAGGTGATGGAGTTGAGAGAAAGACCTCTTCTGGTGATCTTAAC